ACACACACACACACACACACACACACACACACACACACACACACACACACACACACACACAACACACACACACAAACAACGCACACACACACAGATACACACAGACACACACACGCACGCACGCACACACACGCAGACACGCAGGCATACACACATACACACACACACAGACACACACGCACGCACACGCACGCACGCACACACACACAGACGCACAACTGAAGCCACATTACGGCAGCAATGAGCGAGGGGCGATGTTTTCACGAACATACAACACTCCTGGTGGATATCCGTTTATCCTCTCATATCTCTTTCGGATCTGATCCCTCACCACGCCACCTCACCGCTCCTAATTGAGCGCAGTCGTCAGCTGCAGTTCAAAAAAAAGTTTGTCGGGGTGGATGTTAGAAAGGTCTTCACGATAAGTCGAGGCAGGAAGATTCGATTATAAGTGAAATAATAAAAAAACTCACGCGATCGCATTATGAAGCGCAGACTCAGCATGAGTCATCTTCCGATGTCACTATGAGGTAGGACATGGCGCTGGTGATGATGGTAGTGGTGCTGATGATGATGATGATGATGACGGTGATGCTGATGATGATGATGATGATGACGATGATGATGATGACGATGATGATGACATAGACGAGGATGACGATGACGATGATGATGATGACATAGACGAGGATGATGATGATGATGATGAGGATTATGACGTGGACGAGGATGATGATGGTGATGATAATGATGATGATGATGAGGAGTATGACGTGGACGAGGGTGAGGATGATGATGATAATGATGATGATGATGAGGATGATGGTGATGACAATGATGATGACGTAGACGAGGATGAGGATGATGATGAGGTTGATGATGAGGGTGAGGAATATGACATTGACGAGGATGAGGATGATAACGTGGACGGGGATGATGATAACGATGATGAGGATGATAATGATGACGTGGACGAGGAGGATGATGATGATGATGAGGAGGAGGATGATGATGATGATGATGATGACGACGTTGACGGGGATGATGATGATGATGATGACGTGGACGTGGAAGCACGCGCGCATGCCGGTTGCTAGCGTTTGCCACGATAGCTCCCCCTCTCTGCCTCTCTCCATGTATTCCTCTCGCTATCTTTCTCTCGCTCTTCTCTCTCGCACCCGTCCTTCTTACATTCACGCTCTCTCTATCTCTGCTTTCTCCCGCTCGCTCTTGCTCCCTCTCCTCCTCCTCTCTCTCTCGCTCCCTTCATCTTTCTTCTCCCTCCCCTCTATCCCACTCTCCACTCCTCCCTCTCCACTCCTCCCTCTCGCTCTCCGCCCTGTCTCCCCCTCCCTCTCCACTCATCCCTTTCCACTCCTCCCTCTTGCTCTCCGCCCTGTCTGTCTCCCCCTCTCCACTCCTCCCTCTCGCTCTCCGCCCTGTCTTTCCCTTCCTCTCCACTCTCTGTAATCGCCGACATCTGATACCGACGCCGTTTCTCTCTCTCTCTCTTTCTTTCGGGTCCGTGCGTGCCCGCGTATTTTTAGATGTGAAATCGCGCGCGCGCTCGGAAAACACATGTCGTGTCGACGAGCATCAGACGGCTAGCTTTCTTATGCCGCAGCTGTATCCGCAGCAGCTTGCTTCCTCTCTCTCTCTCTCTCTCTCTCTCTCTCTC